AACTAAGTTGCTATTCTAATTTTCTAACTCTTATCACTTTAGTCCTAATTAATCTAATTCAAGGAATTAGGCTATAATTATACCATCAAAGGTTGTAATCCTAAAAATTCTATAAAAAAAAATTTACTTATATAACTCTTAATCTAACATGCTTAATTATCATTAAATAGGAAAATAATAAAAATTTAAATTCTAAAGCATAATTGAGAGCTCACACATAGCAAGTAGGAGTAGAGGTACATTTTGAAATTTCATTTGACTTATTATAAGTGGTGCATGAAAAGAGAGCATTTGATGTTTTTTAATTATAATAGTTATTTAATTTGCTTTCATAGATAGAAAAGAGATTAGTGTGATTTGAGGAAGATATATGTTGTTGTAGAGATGATATGCAACTAGAGTGGTGTTGTCAATGGCTAGAAGGTGATATACTTAGTTTTTGATGAAAATTCTACTACCTTGTTGATCATGTTCATTAACTAAAAATAAGTTTTTTGTAAGTTAAGAATCTAAAGGATGCTACTAAGATACATGGTTTATCCATTTACTATGTTGATTTCTATCTTTCTTGTCCATAAACAAAGAAGGTGATTTTATCTATAAAATGTACTTTATTTTTACCAAATGAAAGTAATATGTAAATTAAAATAAACTTCTATTAGTTAATAGTCTATTTTAATTCACAAAAATTTAATTGTCTTATTTTTTCAATTAATTATAACTATTCTTTAAGTTCTTATCAAATAACTCCTTGAATTCTCTAAATTAATCTTATTTAATACAAAAATTATTTATAAATATCTATATCTACATATCAAGTAATTCAAAAGTTTTCACATATTGAAGAAATTTTATGTTTTTATTAATTTTTATCATTTACTAATAATTCATCTATAAATATAAATTCATCTCCAAATGAGATTTTATCTAAACTTTAAATTCATTCAAATCTTAAATTGATCTCAATATTTTTTATCTACATCAATACATTCAATTATAAAGTTTTTTTAAATTAAGAAAAAATTAATAATGTATGAGCAAGTGATTTCCAACTCAACCACTATAACATTACTAGTGACAAAAATAACACTACTCAAGAGCTATCTTGACCAAAAAGCTTCTATCTTCAAAGTTCTATTCCAATAATTACTTCTTTTAGATTCAAAAACCTCTTTCTTTCAAATACATTTGTTCTAGCTAACTTTTAAGATCTACATTATTATTGATATATAAACAACTTCTAATTACAATTATGTCAACATATTTCTCTATACCACAATATAATGATGTATTTTAGAAGTCTTTTGCTTAATAACAATGATATTATTTTATATTCCAAAATATAGAATTGACTTCATTTCACATCAATTCCAAATCTTATACAAGTGATTCTAAGAAAAGAATTACTATAGAATTTAAGTATCTTATTCTACCTCTAAGAACTTCAATTCCAATGTTATAAGTGTCAATTTGATAATTTCTTCTTTACTTGTTGTTAATTCCAACAACGTATGTTAATTCTTGTTAATCAAACCTAAGTTGTTGATGAAGGCCAATTTTCTTTCTAGACTAGTTTGAATTTCCTACTAAGCTTTGTGTATGTTGATTTCTACACTCAAATCATGTGTAAATATGGTACCAAAAGTATACGATTATAAGAAAATAAAAATTATTAACAAGACTTAATATATGTTTACTTGAGCATCTTGAACTTTAGAAGACATGTGCACTTAGTCTTATTACAAATTATAATCTATAGAAGGCAAAGAACCAAAGACAACCAGAAGACCAAAGTGGAATAGTAAAAAGAACAAGAAAGAAGAACAATCAATAATAACAAAAAAAAATAGCTAATAACAATCATTCAAAAGAAAAAAATATAGAGACTACAACTTATAACTTGAAGCCAAGTTAGTGACTAAGAAGATCCGCTTTCAATTTGATAGCAAGAAAAGAACATCAAAGCAAGAATAAATCAGAATATGAACAATATTTGATGATTAACAAAAAGAAATTGATCAACATTGAAGAAAATAAGCAACAATGATGGATTTATAACTATTAGAGAAGCTCAAAATAAAGTAATTTATAAGAATTCTAAATCTATTCTAAAACAATAATTATATGACTTTGCAATTAAAAGATTGATAATTTTTGATAGTAAGTTTCTACATCTACTCAAGAATCTTGTGGGACATGAAATAGATAGCTAATAAGATAGTTATTTTGATATTAGCATTAATTCACATGTTAAACAAGTATTCTATTAATCACAATTACTAAACAAACTTTGGTCTATTTAATAAACCTCAAAATTTTAAGTACATCTTACATGCTGGATTTTTAATAGAACTATCAATTGTAAAAGAATATAATAAGAGGTAGTAGAATTAATCACAAATAATTTTTTTTATGAGCTACCTTGATTATTAAATATATTATATAAATCTTCTAAATAATCCTTTCAACATACAAGAAATAAACAAAATTAGTTCACTTACTCATGTCCATGTTACTCACAAATCTAGCATTGCATCAAAGAACTCACAATTTCTAAATGCTATCAATTATATATATATATATATATATATATATATATGTTTTTTTTTCTTTCTTTTTTTTCTTCGTTCTTCCTTTTCTTTTCTTAGCTTGGAATCGGCAACTCATATTGAAGACAACAACACTTTTAATACAAAATAATGCAAATAAGAAGTCCAACAATTAAGATGCAGCAACTCTATCAGTAGAAGAAGAACCAAAATAAGAACAACACTTCATAGAAATAAATCACAAGAAAAGATCAACAACTTTAGAATCAACCGTATGAAGATTGGAAGAAATTAAACATACATAGGAGGTTAAAATTCAAAAAAAATGACTAATAAGGACTATAAAAAGAATACAACAATAAAGACACAATCAACAAATAAGGAAAAAAATAGAGCTAAGAGGGATACAATTACAAAATCAAATCTGCAATTCAGGAAAATGAAACTAAAAAAAAAAAAAAAAAAAAAAATTAATAATAGATTAGAAGAAGAAAAACTAAGGTTAAACTATAAATATGTATATATCAACAAAAAAATCAATACAATTTGATAATATTGCATAAAAACTAAGAGTTAAATTATGTTTCTTAATACAATCTAAATAACTAGTACTAAACAATATTGCTGCACCTATATAGAAAAAAAAGACTCAAAAGCTTTAGAAGGCTAGTAATTTTGCTACAACTATTGGAGGAAAGATAAAAAAATAAATAAAAATCCTACAAGCCACAATCTCTACAAATAGCAATCAATGAAGAAAGAGACCTTGACTTGGATTCAAAAAAAAAATCTAATAGAGATACTTGATGAATTTGAGCCACATCCACAATAAGATCATTACCATTGGAGATCACTGACCACTACAATACTTAATAAAAAAACACCAAAAGAAATAACAATAATTTGTTGCAAAAAAGTTAATAGCAAATAAAACAAAACCAATGGCTTTAATTATGAACCACTTCAAACACTTTAGTTGCAATACACATATAAAAAAATACTAAAAGTAGAGAAAAAACCAATGGCTTTTAATTACTAGTTCAAGAATGATATTTTTGCCTTAGAATAACAATTAGAAAATCACAATAAAGAAATTGCCACCATACACAAGATCAACTACATAGTCATAGCTCTTCAAAATAGAATAATTTCATAAAGCAAAAAAAATTAGAACTACACTTTACTAAAGTTTAACATTATATTTCACAAATAGATTTGAAGCACAAAATTAAGTATTATTGACAAGAGCTCCAACCACCACCAATAATCAATAATCTAGAGATCAACCATCAAAAGACAAAGTATAGAGAGAAGATAAGAATACTTAAGCACACCAATAACTTTAGAAGACAATGGTTCCAAACTACATTGCTTAAATAAAAAGCAACAAAATCATCAATAAACTTGCAATTCCAATGATATCATTTCAAGAAGAAACTAATAATTACCTTTAAAAAAATAGCAAGATAAAGAAAAGAAAAAATTAAAAAAAAAATATCAAATCTTAGACTTCTATCAATAGCTACTATTTTAAGAAATCTAAAATTTCTATATTTAAAACCACCAAGCTATTCTATTGGTAGTATGCACATTCAAGTAAAATTAATTTATTAAATCTAAAATATAATAGGTATATTCCTTGTTAATTTGAAAGAAAATATTTCAATCCAAAATCTCAAACATACATACTAAAGCAAAAAACTTCTACACCTTTGATCTTTTGAACCAACAATACCTCTTTGATTTATATAGATATTCAATTGGATAGTCTTCTTCTTGAAAACATTTCAAAAACTATAGCTTGATTTTTAACTTTTTGTTCACAAAAGTTGCAACTCTGCCTATTAAGGCCTTTGTAGTAGCAATCTTATTTTTATTCCTCTATTTAAGCTAAATTCTAGATCATAATCTACCTAACTATAACACTTGTAATAAGAACTAAGAAAATTCAATTATCCTAAAAATTGATGCCAAAATTCAATCAAATAGTATATTATTTCAATTATATTATTTCTAATTTATTTTAAGTTTTTTATATCTACTCTTTTTACAATTGTGATTTTTAATATTTTAATTATATTTTTTATATTAAAATTAAATATAAATCAATTCAATGACTCACATGGTTCAAAGTTTATGAATTGATATCTATCATGTGCCAAGTGATATGTGCAAGTCTGCAGTTGTGGTACTGCACATGTACAGTTTGAATATTTAGATCTCGTCAGCACCGAAGCTTCATTTTTTCTTGGCTAGATGATTCTCAAACAAGACCCTGTAAGCCAAGGTCTACAGCTTTACAACTCACACTTTTGATTGACAAGCAAATTGGCAACTCAGGGCATACAAACTCTGGTTATAATAAGGTGCGAACTCCGAATCTCTCATGGGCAGCTAATGGAATCATTGAAAAGATACCAAGAAACTGGAGGGATTGCTGCCAAGCGATTCTATAGACGATTATATTTTAGTTAGCGATCTTTACTTTTATAATATATAACTGTTACAACAATTGACCACCTCGTCACAAGTCATATGTTCTCATTTCCTCTTCCAATTCTTCTTTTTCAAGGAACTTAAAGAACATGCCCATACCGAATATGACGAATGTAACGCCTTCAACTATCAAGGAAGCCAGTAGAAAGTGAAGCTCGGCCATGAGAGTCCAATATCCCCTTCCTTGCAAGTTTACCAAATAATAGCTTGCTTTATCAATAGGTACTTGCTGTTATAGTTTCATTTCTCGAAAAGCCCCTTCCATTGCACATAACTGACTATGCCCACATAAACTAAAAATGCAATGAGCATGCTGCAGCATAAGCTTGGTACAAACCAGTCAGGATTGTTGTATGGTGATAGGTTGTAGATGTTTATGCAGAACACTCCAATTATGCCCATGGCAGCTGAAATAGACAAGGCGGATGCACCCAATGTGATCTGAAATTGAAAGAGCTGGTTCCTTAGGTGGTCAAGCCGTACGTTGACGTAATCCTCTGTATCATCTATGTATTCTCGAACCTGACATCGGCAATCGTAAACATGTGAAGGATCATGTTGACTTATGAAACACAAATTAGGATACTAGATGGGATGAACCTCGTGCATAATTCTGCATGTTGAACCAAAGCGGCTGCACTAGAAGAAATGTTCTTGATCCCTGAAACCAAGTCTATCCAAATATGGTTTGCATATTAATGATGATTTGAACACTATTTTTTATAATAGGACCCCAAGGTTCGCTTGAAAGCAAATTTGTTTCCAGGGTTTTGCTATGTTTGAAAACTCACCAGTGAGAGCTTGTTAAGGCCAGCATCCACTTGCATAAAGTAGGCATCTAGTAACATCTCCAACTCTTCAACATCATAGACTCTGGTAGTGCTGGGTGTTACTGAGCTACGGCGGTTACAATGACCATTTCCTCTGTACGAATTCTGTCGGGCCAACTTGAGTGATGCAGCTGAGCTCATTGTTACCAAAGTATCTGAAGATTTAGTTTGGGGTGGTGGGTCCAGGTGCTGTATTCGAAGTTGCTTCCGAGTCAAGTGTAGGTCCGCCATTTCTTCGTCATCCTCCAAGAGTTGCATAAGTTCATCTCTGACCTGGTTTGTACAATTTCAGCATAGGCCTTCAGAAAAGGTTAACAAATAACTTCTGAAATAACAATTCCATTCCAACCAACAGAGTTTACAAGGTCGTCACAGGGAGAGGCCTCCATTGTATTCTGACTAGATTGGCCTTTGTATTCAAGCAGATAACTTGACAGAGGCCTTCATTGTCTCCAAAGAGCCGAATAGTCACAACATGGTAAAGATTGATTGCGTAATTGCACGCAACGATTGCAGGTTTCCTGATGCTAGTGAACTCTGGGGCGTGAAAGAGCACTTACTTTCTGACTTCGAGCACTTAAATGAGTAAGCCGGCTCTTGACCATTCGGACAAGCTCGAGACTCCTTGTGCTAACTCCTCTAGTTAACATGTTCAAAGCTGGACGGGCTGTCATTTCCAGAGCGTGCACGTTTGTCTCAAGGTGGCTGCAAACTACATCAAGCGCGATTTCCAAAACTTGGAACTCGAAAGGGAGTTGTTCTTGTAGGCTGTCATCTGTTGTGCACACCTGTCCAACAGGTGACATACTCAGCTCTCCAGGATTGATCCATAATTTGTTCTGAGGAGAAAATCGCATACCAAGCTGCTCTACAAAGGGCTTAGCTTCCCGGATGAAGGGATCGGGAACATAAACCTCTTTTGATGTTATTATTGCTTTCACAAAATCCAAATTAATCACCATCGAGTTCTCCCTTGCTGCGAAAAATAATCACACACATTCATCAAGGAGCTCGCATTTTTTAAAGCAATTGAAAGATAAACAGACAGATCTTTCCTTCCTGCACCATCTAGCACTCAGACTGGAAATTTTCGTTGCGAACTACAAACTGCTCTGATTCTAAAACCTTAAAAAGGAAAATAGATTGTCCACAATACAAGCATGGAGAGAGTCTAAATGACCCGTAAACGTTCAATAACAATGGATTCCATTTATCACAATTCCTCCCATTTTAAGCTCTGGAAATGACAGCCCGTCCAGCTTTGAATAGGACTTTAAGCTCAAAATCAAAAACACAAAAAAGAAAAGAAAAGAAAAGAAGCATCAAATAATGCTTGTAGTTTGTTCCGTGCTGACAGCAATCAGCGGTGTATCATCTCATTTCCAAGCACGCAGACTTATAATATTTCTATGTCAAATAGAATCCAAATGAAATAGATTCCATATTCGATGAACAATTACCTAGAATATGAGAGGATCGTGAGAACATGGGTCCCAATATGCGAAGGTCTCTTGCCAACACGGAAACACGTTTCAATAGACCGTTCCTGTCGCAATCGAAAATTTCAGAATTCCCAATTGCATCAAATCTCATCCATGTCCTGGAGCCCATCCTCCTACTCATCAGGACGGGAAGTGGAACAACTTTTTCGCCTGCATCCGGAGACCGCGAAATGGGCTGATCGTCAGCAGATTTATACACTGCCGGTCTCTTCATGAATGGCTTCTCCGTTTTGGCTGCAGATCTCAGCTGAAGGGAAGGATATAGCTTTGAAACGCTTAAAGCCGCCACGTTCCTGGAATACATTCTCTGTTGGAATCTGTTACATCATGGCAGCTGTCATTCTCCCATAATGTGTTCCGAGAAGAAATTTTCTCTTTAAAAGTCTGAGCAGACCCCCCGAAACAATGGTTTTAACTAAGTTCCACGCTGTCACCTCAACATGGCCAAACCTCGCCCGACATATGGTCATAGACTAACAATTTGGAAAACGCCGGAGAACGATTCAACGGAGGATCAGGAACGTCGTACTGAGCTCCATTGTATTATCAGCTACAGTATCCACTCTAACGGAGTCGATATGATTTCATATCGGCGAGTATAATTGAAGAAAATACTGAAAGATGCGCTTACTGTTTTTCAGGAAAAGCACACTCAGTATGACTTACGATAGTATCCAACCACATGATAGACTGCACTTCCTACCTGTATTAGTGTAAATACTAAAATACAAAGTAAATCGACAGCACATTCATTACGCCACTGCATGCTAGGATTCAGTTACTTCAAAGTAAACAGCCCAACCAAGGTGGCAGGTAAGCTTGGGGGGGACATAATTACGTTCAATTCCAATCCATCATTTACTTGGAGAATACTGGCTTAAAACAGCTCAATCTTGAGGATGTTGCCACATTTGACAATTAAGAAAACTAACAAAATTCGATGACACAAATCAACATAGTAGAATGTCATTTGCAGTTTGATCTGTTGAGAGCGTTTTGAATGTGCTCCTTTACATGTTCGCACAACGCTAATTGCCACCTGATCATCGGAAGTTGGGTCCTACAACTGCTCGTGCTCGGCTTGAAACGTCTCTGACACGAAAAATTTGTTAACAGACATATTCTAAACGTTTTATAACTTCTTTTGAGCGTCAGATCTGGACTAATCATGTTCCAATGGCCACAATGCAATCATGTTGTCAACAGTCCCTGCTGAAGAAGTCATTGTCCAAGAGAGCTGACCGAATTCCATGAAAGTATTGATACAATCTACTAATCATCAGCTTCCTAATCATCGATCACAAACTCTCTCCGAGCATTTCGTGGACCATCGCACTTGGCAGGAGTTCGACGTGCGAATAAAGATAGAGATAAGGCACTGCTAATCAACCCTCCTGGGACCTTTACCCTGCAAGGCCTTAAAACAATGTTCCACCCTTACTCAGAATCTATCCACTCACAAAAGCAACAATGCAGCCATTAAGAACTACCGAAAACGAACTGCATGCAATCAGCTCCACAGAACAGACCGATTCCCGACACTGCTAATCGAATTCGAAGGTCAGAAAGCTACAGATCGGCTCCCGCACCATGACATGCATGGTAGCACAGCATAAAAAAGAGAACGATCCCTCCAGTGTTGTGGAAGCAGACTGAAACCGAGATAACTCTGGATGCAGGGAAGCAATTCGGAAGTGAGCACGTACAGTCACGGTGTAACAAACCTTGTAACGAAGTACGTTACATTAGAATTCTTTTGAGGCTTTCTCCGTCCAGGGAATGTCCGGATGCCAGAGCCTGAGACCAATGGAATTCCTTCGAAAACCTATCTCACGCTACGCTTCAGTAGGCGACAAACAGCCAGGTTGTACAAAGATGAGTAGGTGGACAATATGCGTATGCCGCGATCAAGCTGAAGAACAGATCAGCGTGGGGCCAGATTCCTCTTCATGCGCAGAGCTGTGGTACCAGGAGCCACAGATATGCCACACCAAGCAATTGGGGATGAGAAGGGCGGAGGATTTTTCATCCTCTTTGCCCCCATTTTTCATCCACAAATGTTTGACGCCTCTCACGCCCATAGCTATCGTCCTTGATGCTTGCTGCCACGTCGTCTCTTTACTTGTCGTCGGTCTTACGCTCCCTTTCCTATTCATGGTGACGTGGCTTCTTCTTCATTGTATTGATGCATTGTATTTATGCTTAGAGCCTCTTCGTGTGGGTAGTTTTGGTGAATGAAAGGGGCTGCTTGAGGAGATGGAGAATATATATATATATATATGTATATGTATATATATATATATAAAAAAAAAAAAAAATTAATATGTTTTTGTTTCTAAGTAGAGTTCTAAAATAATTATTAATTTTATTTATTTATTAATTTTTTTTGAAATATCTATTTTTAAAAATTAAATATCTCTAGCTTTAGACATTATCATAATAGAAATAATTTTAAGTATTTTACTCCATATTATACACAAATCAGCTTTATTTTAATGCATTTAATCAAAAGGTTGTTGATATTGCAAATTAAAGGTGGATCTTGAAAAGAATTCCAACACTGTGTTTAATTCTTGTAGACTTATGTGATAGAAATTATACTTGTAATTCAGTGTGATCAGAATTGGACTTTGTGCTAAAATCTAGTCAATATTATCCAATCAATTTCCAAATCTAAATCTATATTTCCATATCTATCAATTGTCTTTGTGGTTTTGCAATGAAAAAATGGTCTTTAGAATCAATTTTAAAAGAACTACTTTTTGAAATAAAAGACACTATTAGGAAAAAAAAAAACAAACAAACAAACAAACAAACAAACAAACAAACAAGTGGAATCTCCCTTTAATTATGTATGCATATCATTTGAAGAATAAGGATAATAGTCTATGCCTAAAGAGCAAAAAATTGACATTAGAAATAGCTTTGATATTTGTTTTCAACTTGTACAATTCAAAATGAAGTATACAAGTTAAGTAAAGTATAAAGAAAACAATAAAAGCAAGTGTTTGAATTCTTATTCCTAATATTCTATTCCAACCATACAAAGCAAATTAATAAGACTTAGACAATAATCTTAGAAGGAACTGTTATCAAGACACGGGTTCCGAATAGGGCAAAGTTGATCCTTAATTCAATTCTATAAGGTGCAGCCAATACAAATGAAAATTGCATATTCTCCATCTTACCTTCTTTTTATTATTTGTACCAAGCAAAGAAATTGTTCACTCCTATAGAAAATGAAGAATGAATACAAGAAGAAATGGTATAATAATTCTTAAAAACCAATCTTCATGATGAAAAAGTCACAGATATCTAATCAAAAGACAAAAGAATTGCTAAAGTAGAAAAAATGCAAAGAGTAATATTGCCTCCAAAACAAACAAGAATGGAAACCATCCTATTGTCTAAGTCTAAGAAGTAGGCAAAAATGACCTTCTTCAAATATAGGAAGGATAGCCTCTATTGAATTATTTGACATTGTCTAAATAACTTTAGATCATCTTTGGAATTATTATTTTAGATTATTTGAAATGACAATTGATGTAGCCATCTTAATTGGTATATTCAAAGATCCAATTCAAATATCTAAGTTAAGTGCAAATGAAGGTGCTAGTAAATGCTCTTAAGTAAAAACTCCAATAGATCAAGGAAGAGACATAGTATGTTGAGCTTTGGATTGGTGCCCAAGCTACCTTAGTATACATATAGGCAATGCATCTTGGAAAGTTCATTGTGTTCTATGTGATAAATCTAGAGTTGATTACAAAACTTCAACTTTAGGATCAAACTTTGGGTTAGCCATTATAAAACCAAGATTAATTCAAATGATATGAGATTGAATATTAGAAACATATTGAATATTAGAAACATCATTTGAGAAGATTGGTGCTAGTAGCAATGGGTTAGGGAGACAATAGGTTATGGAGGCATTCATGTGGTGCCTGGACCAATTTTGGCCACTTGTGCATGAGTCTTTTTAAGTCAATATAAAGTTTTGCCATTCTCCATACTGCCTAATTACTTCTTCCTAACCGCTTGCCATAACCCTTCCACAGCTGCGGCTTAAGTATTTTTTAGCCTCTGCTTCCTTTGACCCCAAATTTTGGGCTTAGTAGAAAATTTAAGAAAAAAAAATTATATGCATGTTACTGTATGCAATAGCTTGAACCAGTTCTTTAATGTCTTCTGTGCTGCTTGAGCTGGGGGTAGGCCTTCAGGCTGAGCCCACTTACAACATGCAAACACATAACTGAAGAAAGATTCGATGGAGTTTGCGATATCTGCATATACTCCGAACACAAGATAGAAACAAAGCTGTGTCGTGAGCTTTAGATCAGTTCTTGATGAATTTTCTATAAGACATGATGAAGACCTCTGTACTGTTGAGCGAAAACTTCAACTGCTTACACTGCACGGTGTGTGCCTCTTGGAATTTCCTCTATGCTCTGGCGGTAACCGATTTACTGAAACGAATGGAGCTTATGCTTTGACTAGTCAGCTCCAATCAAGATTCCCCGATGACTCCTCTTTCTTGCAGTAATTCGGAGGAAGATGGGTTACCGAGCTCTCGTCTGATTCTTTCTTAATGACTTCTTTCTCGCAGTGTTTCCGTGGTATACTCCGTCTGTGTTTGAAGAGGTTATCACATATTACAATTGGAACAATATGGGTTACTTAAGAGTGCTTCCTCGTGCAAGATCCGCCTGCTTCTATATGTTTAAGTTCCGTGTACATCGACGATTCGTCTCTGGTTGATGAAGATTAGGTTATCTTACTGGTCATGCACTAGTTTTGATGTCTCAATCTCCGATGTTGAGATCTGGATCCACATTGAGTACTGCAGCTCCATCTTATCATTTTACTGTATTAGTTTAAACAGAATAATGGATGAGACGCTTGTGTTTCAAGTTCGTTTGAAGTGAAATGAGAAATGATGATGACGTATTAGGGAGACTGTGATTCCAAGAGAATCAAGTTGGCAGAGGTTGGGGCACATTCAGACCAAGTTATTCGAGTATGGACGCTAACCAACCATGCGAATCTCAACAAGAAGGCCTAGATATTCCCTTTCAATTTGTACATCGACCATGATTTGGTAAGTTGGACTTCACAAAATGGAAGTTGAGAGAGAGAGCAGTAAATCCAGTGAGGTGTACAAATGATTAACCCAGTAGTTGAATGCAGTAAGTCATTCACCGTAAACTATAAACACATGTATATTTGCACGACTCACTTGTGTGGTGTTGATAAAACGGAATAGCTTAATGCTCTAAGCCGTGTTTGAGCAACTAGGCCTCAGATGATCAAATGCTTTTCAACCTATTCTACAACAATGGATCATGCTCGGAGCCTTTTTTTCATGTAGGAAAAGTATGGAGTTCACCAGAGACCTTGTTGCTATGGCATATTTCGGAGAGCCACCAAATTGCTGGAGCAAAAAGGATCCCTGCTGATCGCCAGACTTTTCCTACATGTAAACTGGTCGACCACACATGCACGCTGAACAAACCTTTGAATGCACTTTCTACAGTGCTTCAACAGTCGGAATAGACATTAATATCACATCTTCCTTCCATTGTCGTCGACTTTAATTTAGCTAGATACAATCTTCATGAATCTTCGCTACATTTGACACTCTTCAATCGAAATCAGGCCCAAGGAATCCTCGAATCCAGTTGCGGCTCGTTCTAGAAGTAATCTTCTTAGAGTTCGGGTCGTGGCCCAAGTAACGAAGAACAACTCCACGAACACATATGATAAAATCCCCTATTGCCATCTGCGTCGAGAATGATTAACATGGCTGTGAACTCTTTTAGAGAGAAATCAGAAAGACTCCCCACTCCTGGTGAGTCAACTGGCCGGGAATCGATTCTAGAAACTCCAGCTTCTCGATTTGATCTTCACCTTGAAATGGAGTAGCACTGCTTACCTAGCAAAACAAGAGCAATTCGTCGGAGGCAAGAAATATTGAAACCCTCTCGTGTTGTTGTGAAGCGGAAAACCAAAACTGAGTTCAGAGAGAAGGTTAGACATTACTAGAACTTCACGGAGGTCTCACAAGTTCAAGTTGTAAGTTGCAGTCACAGGAGGGCAGTTCAGACTAAATAAAAGCAGAATTGGACACATTGGCACCACCGAGAAAAGAGGGCACTCAAGTTTAGTGAAGAAGGAGATGAAGAATCAGAAGAAGAAAAATAAGACGACCCTGCGGATTGATTCACTCCTACAAGCAAAGGTGCAGACTTTTCCCCAAACGTCAACCAATATAGACAGCTTCATCCATTCCGCGCCAAATGTCTCACCGACGATTTTCTCGGAGATCGACACTTGAGGCAAGTTCACTGTTCCCACTTCCACATACCCACTGCGTATCCCACCCAAACACGCAACAGAATATACAATTGCCAAAGCGTGTCGATTATGGCGGCGATGTGCCCCAACGACCCACGTCAAGGATCTTTCGGAGGATGACGTTCAAGTGTCAAAGTCGTCAGGGACACGAGCACACAATGCCCCGGAACGAACATCAAAGTTCGGAGCATGGCAGTGTGATGATCATTTTAGCACTCAATTATTAGTATTGACGAAGCAAAATCAGCTCGGCTCTGATCGTATACTTGACTAGCGGCCGTGCGATAACTATGACAACACTGGCTAATCCGTTTGCAACGCACGAGGCGAATATGCCCCCGAAGCAGTCAGGCTTGAGCTTTATTGGGCAACTCGTCTGCCGGAGCGTGAAGCAAGTTGAGTCAGCGCCACGGATCAGCCGTGTTTTTTAGGTAGTGCCTGAATTTTGGGCAGTCGTTCTGGATCTTGTGCGAAATGGCAAGCCGAGAGCTTGAATGCGGATGCGGTTGGCATCGGCCCAGCTCAACAGTTCGGGATCTGCGAGTCGAGCTTATCCGTGTTGCGGTTCGCGGACCCCGTCCACCTTCGCATTCATTCGCTTCGGTGACAGTGTTAATACCAGTCGGTATTTTACTCGTGTATGTACGATTTCGTATTTGTACGATATGCCCCTCTAGATTTAATTTTCTTGACATTGGCTCCTCCCAAAGATTCCTCATATATTTATAGCAATATAAAAGAATAGCAAGAAAAAGACAAAAGAAAAGGTTAAAAGCACAAGTTAGACCAAACCTATTGTTGAGAATAGGTACCTTACTTGCACTCTCACCTTTCTATTTCATTTGTCCATCATCCATAAATGTCTACAGACATAGATGTTTGGTAGCTACATCAAGTTCTATGAGCAATTCCTTGACATGCAACCAATTGTTAGGAGCCCATAAAGTATTGATAGTAGGGGTACAAGGTTAAGGGTTTGGGATATAAAAATAAAAATAAAAAACTAATTATGAGCAATTAGGAAAACTTAAGGATTTAAGGCTTATTATAGTATTTTGGCATGAGAAGCCATTTAGAGTTTTTGTTTATCATATACCTAGTACTAGCTAGATATCTATTTTTCTACAACCACACCAAATATGCCCAAAAGTTTTCTATTTTTACTTTATTTTATTTTAAAAGGATTTGAATATAAAACTTTACTTTGCATGGAGGACTCTATTTTTATAAATTACTTTATATAAAGATCTCTTCTTGTACTAATAAAACTTCTCCAAGTAAACTCTAAAAAGCTATACTTGACTTATATAAAATCTTCAAATCATTATAAGAGTTTAAATGTATTTTATAATTATCACTTTTTTTTATTCTATTTTTTTTCTAACTTGTTATATATGCATGTATATGTGTGTTTGTAAATATATCTATATATGAATACATGTAATATATTTTATAAATTATAACTCTAAATTTATATTATATTTAATTAAAAAGTTTAATTTGTATATATTTTTAATTAGATAATTTTATAAATTAATAAATATATACATTATTTTTATGTATATATATTTGTTAAAAAATAGTATATAGAATATTTTACCTTTATATTTTGACTATTTTAAAATTTATATATTTTGTATTTGAAAACTTCAATATATAATTTTATTATGATTTTAAACTTAATAAACATCATATTAAAATGAGATTTGTTTTTATAATATATTTTATTTTATAAATTATAAGAATTTATTCTTTACTCTAAATATATTTAAATGACATGCAAGATTCAATCAACTAGTCTATATATATATATATATATATATATATGTGTGTGTGTGTGTGTGTGTGTGTATGTGCGTGTGTTATTTAAATTTAATTTTTTTATTATAATAGTAAAAAAAATTTAAAATTTATTTAGTGGTAAGTATTTTTTTTATTATTTGAACATTATGTCCTATAAATAATTGGTTTATAATTATGTTTTTTAAGAAAATATATATTGTAGATTAAATATTATGTAATTTAATTTTTGTTAATATATTAAATATTTATTATTATTATTATTATTATATTATTAAGTTTTTTTAAAATTAAAAGAAATTTGTTATTTTTGTATGTAAAGTATGTTATATATGTTCAAGAATTCAAACCTAGTACTCAAATATTATTTTGAAATTAATATTTTAAATCTATTATAGATGCTTTTGGTAATTTAAAGAACTCCATATAAAAGTTAAAAGTTGTATTAATAACTCCAAATTAAGTAAAAAGTAGTATAAATTTTATGAGAATTTTAGTACTTAATATTTTTTAAAAAGACATGAAAGTAAAAGAATATTGTACTTGGATTATTCTAGAATTTCTATTAGAAAGTTTGAAGAGTCTTAAACTTATCATTACATAAATTATGACTTCTTTGTCTTAAGTTGATTTATAAAATAAGATTTAATAAAAATATAGAATACTTAATAACTAAAAATATATTTTATAAAAGATTTATAATTCTTATTATAGATTTCTAAAGACTTTATAAATAATAAAAGTATTTTTAAAAACCATTCATATTTTTAAAAACTTCTAACATATAATGGAGGATTTTTTATATGAATTAAATATTATATTATATTTTTACAACTTATAAAATATTATACATAATTTTTTTAGAAATTTTAGAAGATTTAAAATATACATCAAATAAAAACTTGATATATGTTGAATTTAATACATGCTAAAATCAATATAAATTTATCAAATAATAAATATATGAAATAATTAATAAATTATTTTTTAAACTATAGATAATTAATTTTTCTAAGTAATATTAAATACATAAAAATAATATTATTTACTTATGTTTTAATATCTAATTTCTTTAGAAATAATATTATTATATATAATTTAATTATTATTTTTATTTAAAATTATTTTATTTGAATCTATAAGATTATTCTCATTTGTAGAACTTGTCCACCATCCCAATTCATATTCTCTGTTCTCATTTGTAGCCCTTGTCTCCCATCTTGATTCCATCATCTCCCATTTTGATTCTATTATCTCCCATTTCAATGCCATTATCTTTCATCCTGACTCCATTGTCTTCCAATCCAAACCTTCTATCTCATGTTTTTGTTTCCAATCTCAATCTCATATCATCTATTTATATTTTTGTGTAATATAAATAATGAATAAAAATCTACTTCTTCTCTTTTAATGAATGGAGTAAAAAAAAGTTGATTTTTTAAATAATTGAATTAAATATATTTATTATTAATTAATCAAAAATTCTAATCATAGTAAAGTATAAAATCATAATGTTTATATTACATGGAGATTAATCCTTAATAATCTATTTAAAAAATACAAAATTTGAATATATTTTAAATTTGGAATAAATTAATAATATTACCAATGACAATAACAATAATAATAATAATTCTAAATAAAATCTTTGGCATCTTTGACAATACATTAAGGAATATTTAAAAAAATTAGTAATATGTAAGGGTGATTTTTTTCAACAAGCATGAAAACCATTCTTTAAAATATCAAATGTTTTGTAACTTTATAATATCATATGTGTATTTATATTCTTTTTTTATCTTCATATATTTTTAAATGATATTTTCAATTTTGATTTATATGTACTTGAATGAATGTTACTTTGACTAATTGATTAATTGATTACATATGCATCAACCAACATATATATAAGTAATTATATTATTAAGAATACTCTTTTATAAGGAGAATTTTAAACTTTATTATTAAATTACTTTCTATATAATTCTTTTTTATGATGTATGTGTTAGATTCTACTAAAATATTGCTTGATCTATATCCTAGAAATTCTCAATACCCTCTTCTTAATTACACATGGCTATTTTCAATTGACTCAATTTCCACCATTATTACCTTTTTTTTTATTATGTATGTATATAAAGAAACATATTGATTCTTAGATTTTTAAATGCATATATTTTTGTTTATATACACATTTGTAATATATATATATATATATATATATATATATATATTTATCAAAATAATTAATTTTTAAAAATAAAATATGTATCCAAAAGAAATAAATTATATAAAAAAATCCTAAAGAAAACATGAATGTATCACAAGATACAAAGAAGACCAAAAGACAAGCATATAAGAGATAAAAATTGAAATAAACATTGCATTGAAGAAGAAGGTGCCAAGCATTGGTGTACGAAAAGAAGAGGGCTGAGATGGGAGACATGGGCTACAAATGGAAACTAAGGACAAAAAAGGGATCAAATAGAGAATGCCAGTTAAGCATGAAAATGAAGAATATAAGTTGAGCATGGAAATAGACAATACAAGTTGAGAATGGAAATAGAGAATGGAAGTTGAACATAGAAATGGAAGATTGAAGTTGAGCATGAAAATGAAGAATGCAAGTTGAGAATGGAAATAGACAATGATAGTTGAACATGAAAATAGAGAATGCAAGTTGAGCATGAAAATGAAGAATGCAAGTTGAGTATGGAAATAGAGGTTGCAAGTTGAGCATGGAAATAGAGAATGTAAGTTGAGCATAGAAATGGAGAATGCAAGTTGAGCATAGAAATGGAGAATGCAAGTTAAGCATGAAAATAGAGAATGTAAGTTGAGTATAGAAATGGAGAATGCAAGTTGAGCATAGAAATGGAGAATGCAAGTTAAGCATGAAAATAGAGAATGCAAATTGGGCATAGAATTAGTAAATGTAAATTGAGCATGGAAATAGAGAATGCAAATTGAGTATGGAAATGGAGAATGTAAGTTGAACATGGAAATGGAGAATGCAAGTTGAGCATGGAAATAGAGAATATAAGTTGAGCATAGAAATAGAGCATGCAAGTTGAGCATGGAAATGGAGAATGTAAGTTCAACATAAAAATAAAAATTGTAAGTTAGGTATGAAAATAGAGAATGTAAGTTGAGCATGGAAATAGAGAATCTAAGTTAAAAATGGAAATAGAAAATGCAAGTTGAGCAAAGAAATAGAGAATGCAAGTTGAGCATGAAAATGGAGAATGGAAGTTGAGCATGCAAATAGAGAATACAATTTGAGCACAAAAATCGAAAATATAAGTTGAGCATGGAAATAAAGAATGTAAATTGAGCATTGAAATGACGAATGTAAGATGAGCATGAAAATACAGAATGTAACTTGAGCATGGAAATGGAGAATGTAAGTTGAGCATGGAAATAGAGAATGCAACTTGAGCATGAAAATACAGAATGTAACTTGAGCATGGAAATGGAGAATGTAAGTTGAGCATGGAAATAGAGAATGCAACTTGAGCATAGAAATTAAAAATACAAGTTGAACATGGAAATACAGAATGCAAGTTGGGCACGGAAATGGAGAATGCAAGTTGAGTATAAAAATAGAGAATGTAAGTTGAGCATGAAAA